TACAGTACACATATGCATAAAATAGAGACTAACATGCAAATAGAGTGTTATGTGGTCTAATAAACTATCAAAATTCTTTAGCTATTTAATGAGGCACCACCATTCAGACCACCCGAGGACACACACACACACCCTAAATGTCACAAAACTCTCATTTAACACTGTGCTTTCTCATCATTTGGAGCTGTGCCCTAAAACACTCCACTGGAATGGACAAACCTCGGGCTTTTTTTATCCTCCATTAGTTGTGCAGCAGATATAAATTAGCAGTATCACTGCAACCACGGCAGCATCCAGCCAAAGGCCGACTAATGCTTTGCAATCCTCCATAAAGCTCACATTCCACTATGATATACTCCTACTACACGGGTGTCTCACATAAAATGAGCTTCATAGGCATTTGGACGGACACGCAGTGATGTTTTTGCTCTGTGCTGTTATTACTTTAGATGTGAAACACCACAGCTGCTATTAGTCCCGTGTCCAGACTGTCAGCTTTAATGGATATGTTCTTCCACATCAAATGAACAGTTAAAACTTCTGCCACATTTTGTCAACTTTACTCAGTGCCAGTGCTGTGCAGATTATTGTGATAAATTAAAGAAAATGACCATAAGCCTATTTTTAGACAGATAAACAGAAAAATTAGTTCCTATACTTTAACATTCTGCATTTTTGTGTTTATTTTTTGTGTTTATTTTTTGTGTCTGTTTTTGTGAATTTGTTATTTACCCACTGTTCTTTTCCAGCATCGCCTTACACTCAGACAGTCACACACCCAATTAGCTGCCCACATCTTATATGTTGGCCACAGAGGAACCCAAAAGGAGCAACTGAGGTTTGCCTCAATGATGGGTAAGGAGAGACCTACTCATTGACATACATTAACAGGTAATAACACATGGTTTCAAACTTCACCCAGTTATGTCCACTGTGTTGTCATCTCTGGCACCAAATGTTAGTGTGTTCAGATTCTTTGACAAGTTAAATGCACCAAAATTGTGCATTTTCTCTTCAGCCCTTGATATACTTAACCTTTAAACTACTGTATCTCTGTATTTTATTTTCATTTTGTTTTCGCAACATATGAAAGATACCTAAATTCCTTGCACGGCTCCCTGACATGAGGTGACTGTGCCTGCGTGTCTTAAATAGAGGTCAGCTGCCTGGTCACTGCTGGCCATGGCCCTGAACTTCAGAAAAAGTTAAAGAGGTGTTGCTTGAGGATCTCAGTGTGTTCATAGGCTCGTGTGGGGAAAATTCCGTCAAAGTAAAGCTTATAGACATCAAAGCCTTTTTCTGCACAAATTCTCTCTGATGGCATCTTGAAGCACAGCAAACAGGTTGTAGTGTGTGTGTGTGTGTGTGTGTGTGTGTGTGTGTGTGTGTGTGTGTGTCTGGACGATGTGTGAGTGTGGTTGCGGCTACACATGGTCAGCACAATTACCGAACATCAAAGGCTACTAACATCTCTGCTGTCATCCCTGGTCGATCTCTCCCAAAGTGAGTCATCCTGCAAAGTGAACGGAGATCTGGATACTGCAGAAGAGGTAGGAGAGGAGGGATGAAGAGGGAAATGAAGATGAGTTATGGGCAGGTAATATAATGGAGCAAAGCGATTAAGGAAAAGATTGGGATTGATAGAGAGATGGAAAGAAGTGGCTCTGACTGAAGGGCTGAAAGGAGGTGACCAGAGATGTGGGCGAGTGAATCGACATCATAAAGAAGAGGAATGTATTTGCATATGGAGCGGCTGATGCCTTCGAGACAGCTCCAGCTCTCGCAGCTGGCAGACTGACAGCACTGGGCAGGTGTGAGGCTCGGCACCGTGGCACATTCAGAAAGTGACACTTAACGAGAGTTGTGTGTGTGTGTGTGTGTGTGTCTATGCGTGTGTGGAGGGGGCACCATTCATCTTAAACAGCCCTTTGTGCAGCAGCCTTCAAAAATAGAGACATGCTGTATCAGTTCTCTCTCTTTTCCCCAGCACATCCATCTGCATCCTTCTTTTCTAATTGCTGTTCCCTTCTCTACAATTTTCTGTTCTTCCTCTCCCAATGTTAAACCAAGGGGCAGGAAGGTGCTTTATCGACTGAATGGTGAACATTCATGTCATTACATTATATAAAAACCTGAGGTATGGGTCTGTACTGATGACTGATTTTAGGACCTATTTCATTATCTTTAGAGAGCACAGCTTTGTATCAAAATGTCCTACATGAACATGTTTAACTTTGTTGCTTGGCCAAGAGGTGGGCGATTCTTCATTCTGAAACAGTCTTGCTCTGACAAACCTAAATGAATGCATCAATCAATATTCCCCCCTTGCTTCCCATCTTGCTTTATTCCCTTGTCATTTCACTGGTGGCGACAAAGCAGCTAATTTTAAACAGGCAGCACAAATTGGCAAGTTAAGGCCATATATTTTGTCATCTGACTTCATTTTTTCCCTCTGTAACGTTTCTGTGTGCTGTTTCGCTCTGGGGCTTTTTGAATCACGGTCAAATTTGCCTTATCAGCTAATCTCTTTGTGACTACACAAATTCAAGGTCATTCATTATATATTTGAATCTTGAGCCAAATTCACCAGTTGTTTCCTATCGTGAAAAGAATATCTAATAATGGCTTTAAAAAGTTGGGTTTTAGGGAAACGACATCTTCTTTTTTACTAAGAAACTGATTGACAAATCCAATATTGATAACAGAAAGTAAAATAACCCTGAGCGAGAAAAGAGAAATAAGTACAGAAAATGTTGCTTTGTATTTGCAGAAAGTCTAAACTCTAAGCTGTAAGGCTTTTGGGTTTCTAAATAATGAGTCTGAAGTATTTAATTTTTGCTGCTCTGAAGAGATGAATGCATTTGATAAAAAAACTGCTCTTTTTGTAGGTAGTATGGTTATGGGATATTACTATAACATTCCCATTAACATTACATTTAAGGAGTGATTGGCCATGAAAAATGATGTTGACAAGTTGCTGAATATAGGTGTACCAGAATACAGTGCTGGGTTTGGGTTTTGTGACAGCTCAGTGGACTATGCTGCGTGCTATTCAATCACTGCATGGCTTCAAATCCATTGCTGTCTGTCATCGCACCTGTGTCTTCCATCTGTCCTGTTATTCTTCCTCACCAGCTAACAAAACTGGAATAATCTGAACCAAACAACTTTGTGAAAGTTTGAGCATTTTTTTTTCCTCAAGGGAATGTAAACACTTGGCTGCAAAATCTCCTTGACATTGATGAAGGAATGGAAAAAAAAAACATTAATGCAAAACAATATTTCGCATGAAAGGCAATTTCTGTCCGGTCTTCCTCAACTTCCCTGTCCCAGTTCACAGAACTGTTCTGATTGATTGAGTGGTGATTTGAGTTTTTCACTGACCCCTCACTTTTCATCAGGAGAAGAATCACACCTCAGCTGCAGAAATGCAACCTTCTCAGGCGGCATTTATTCCTGACAGGTGGGCTGATTGCAGCTGCTTTCTTCAGTCTAACATGACGTGTTATTGCCATTACTTAATTCCCCCCTCAGTCATCATCTTCTGACTCACTGAAATAGGTGGTTACCTCTCCCTATCAGGCTCAGTTGCATCCTTCTCTCCGTCTCTCCCTTTTCATATTCTTATATCCCTCTGCATGCGCTCCATCTTTTTTTTTACACTCATGCACACAGAAAAGATGGAAGTCACCAGACATAGTCATATCAAGTGATAGAATGTAACTAAATATGTTTGCTCAAATACCGTACGAGTATATCAGAATCAGAATCAGAATCAGAATCGGGTTTATATAAAGTTTTTATACAAGCAATTTGCCTTGGTGCATAAAAATCACACAGAAATAAAGTTATTTAAGTTAAGTTTAAAATATAAATAAATAAAGATAAGGTTAAAGATAGAAAGATCTAAACTGTACAGGAAATATATAGTTCTATCCTGCACAATGTGCAGGATAGAACTTGCACCTGAGTATTTCTTTTTTATATAACTTTATACTTCTATTCCACTATATCTCATTGGTAAATATTGTACTTTCATGTCACTACATTTTTCTGACAGCTTTAGTTACTACTTTTCAGATTACAGATTATTTTTCATACCCTTCCAGTGAATACCATGTATGTACAAAGAAGGTGATTTTGAATTGGACGTGTCTGGATAACCTGAAGAATATAGTGTTCCATTATGGATCGAGAAAATTCTACTACATCTTAGACTAAATAAACTATTGAAAGACCTTCTTGGATTAGCTAGAACATGCATCATCACAAAGCTGCTCAAGTGTTTCTGTTTCAGGGATTTATTGTGATCTGTTTAGAAATCTAAAGCTGTAAGAAAAGTGTAAAACATGCAGATACTTATTATAACACTATATTATTGTGGCTTACATTTTCCCACACATTGTCTTTGGGATTTGAATGGATCAGTGTGGATATGAATTAGTGTTCATTCTTGAAGAAGTCATGCAAGTGACGTTCTTTTCACAGCAACATGAACTTTAATGTCAAAATAAATCTCAGGTTGTCCTCATTCATTTCAATTACTTTTCCCTACATCATTCTCTCATGCAATAGGACTACGTTTTTGTAGCGTATATCACAGGTAGAGCTGTTTTTGTATTACAGTATTACAGCCTTGTATAGACTGTTGACTGATATGGGAAAATATTGCTCAGACAGTGAAAGACACCACATGACAAATTGAATGGCATCATACCACCACCACCACAGCTTGGAGATAGGGGAGCTAAAATGCAACATGAATTATTCTTCTTAATAAAAATTCATGAACATGTGTCCGTGCATGTGTTTTCATGTGTTTTTGTCAGTGTGTGTACGTGTGTGTGCATGGATATTTGTGAAAACAAATTCAGATGTTTTCAAAGCAGCAGTATTTATAGTGTATCCTCAATGCTTATTTGTCAGTTCAGAAATACTGAGGTGAGAGGCTTCCAGAAGGACACTGATGATATAAAAAAATAGAATCAGGCTTATACAGAGCGTTTTGGCAACTATTTATTCAACAATTTTTATTTCATACATGAGAACAAACCTCTAAATTAAATATAATAAATCCCACAGACAATGGGAGAAAAACACCTCCATTACGGTGCAATATATTGAATCAAGCCCTCTCAGTACAGCTTGATATGAAACCTCTTATTTCACCAAGGTACATCAGAAGCTGAACTAATGTGTCTAGCTCTAATCCTGATCTTTACTGAACTTTACTGTGGATATTCTGTATTTTGTGAGTGACTGACTGCTATACATAAAGATGTGTTGCTACAAAGAGAACAAAAGCATTGAACTGCTTACACACCATAAGCTAAAATTAGATAACATCGTGTATGAACACAACTTCTATCATTCTTGAAACTCATGATTATTTGCAGCATATTTCTAAATCAGTATTTCAAGTCAGTGATCATATCAAAAAACTCTTTCTTAAGTCTAATATCCCAATGACAGCAAGATGACAGAATTACTGAAGAATCACTGAATAATTTTATTAACATTGTGATAATCTTAAACTCAACAAAATACATGGTGTCAGCATTCTGGGACTTGCAGAGTGGGAATGCTCATGAGTCCCCGTTTTAAGACAGAAAACAGACAAACAAAAAAGTCTCTAAATGAAATATATTCCTGAGATGCAAAACAAAAGAAACAGATATAATCATAATCATATAATCAAAAACAAAATAAAAGATCAAAACATCACTTCATGTGATTGTGTCACATGTTGCTGTCATCATTGTGACAATTTGGAGATTGGACTGATTGATACTAGTGTCAATATTGCAGAGGAACAAAGAAGTGCACTGAAGCCAAACTGTACAGCAAAGACATATGAAAGGTCAGAGGAGGAGAGATAGGACTGGACTGGGCCATGTCATGCCATCATTGCTGCTATGAAGAATAGAACCAACAAAACCACGAGTTAAAACAAAATATAAACCAGTTGAAAAAGAAAAGGATTTTGGATAGACTCAAAGTGGCCATTACGTTCTTATTCATCCCTTTTTAATCAGGGATTCTGAGTTTTTAGTTGGTAGGGGCCTCTAATTTCTTGAATATGGATACAATTGCCAGGGCAAACTTGGAGCCAAATGTGTGTGCCTGACTAACTGCAATATTCTGTGACCAGAGGTGCTCCTGGGGTAGTACAGTGGGATGAAAAGGTTGTAGCATGATGGAATACATAATGCAGTTTGTACGAGCTTCAACAATCACCAATCAGCTCGTCTCATCCCTCTTTAAAAGAAGCAGACAGGCGGGAGGAGGGTAAAGGAGTAAACTGGAGGTGCAGAGTCACAAGGCACGAATAAACAGCTCCCCAAATATGTGTCCAAGGATTTTCTCCCTTTTTTAAGATTAATTTACATTTCAGGACTAGCTGAAATGTTGTGAAATTATATGTTATTTTATAAAATAATTATATCAGTGCACTTAGTCAACGTCTACATTAACTTATAATATATTAAAATGTGTTTCTGTCATTACTGTCTGTTGCCTAATACAGGTAAACACACACATATGACTCCTACTGCTGATGGCTACAGGTTTAATCACCTGAAAGGAAACGATACTACGATGTACAAGCAGTTGTTAATGACAGTACTGCTGGAAATCTCCCATTAATTGAACCCATTATAAACTGCTTCAATCGCATTAAATATGTAATTAATGAGCATTCAAACTTATGCATACATGAATGTTTTTTGGTCGGTACCTGTACAAAACTGCCAAAATGAAAATTGTTCACAAAATTGTGCACAAGTATGCCAAAATTACTGCCAGTACTGCACTGCCTGATCTGCATAAACACAAAACCTCAGCTGCACCACTACCACCTTTAGTCAAAGAAAGTGGGTTCGTTTGAGCCAAATGGAGATGAATTAAAAAAATGGACTTCTGCCCAAATAAGACGTCGCTGCAACTACATTAGTGCTATTACTATCTTTTTTTTTAGATAGAAATTAGAGGCCCATTATCTATTGGATGTTAACTGATATATGTTGGAAAACCAGGAGGCAACAAGTTTAAAGCTTAGTTTCAACCGACAACAAAAAAGAAATACGACTAATAACTGACCCCAAGCTACAGTTGATTCTGTCATAGCAAAATAGTGCATGATGGTATGTGCCAGGCTGTTAGAATAACAAATTAAAAAAAGATTCAGGTTTGGTCTAACTATCATAAAAAGCCATTTGCAACAAATTAGCTCATTACTGTCATGTCAAAACAAATATTTACAAAACAAAATACATTTCACCATTCACTAAGAAGTATCCATCAAATTAGTCAGAGTGCATAATTCAGTAAATGGCACCTGTTTCATTTCTAATGCAAACACCAACTCATCACAGCAGACCTGGTTATTTATGAGTGTTCATTTAATATAAAACAGCCTGTTTTTCTGACTTCAGAATCAACAAATTGATTCGACCACTCTCTTATTTGTCAGATGGATACACAAGCGTAGAGAAAATCGAAAGTTTGATTGACACCGTCATTGATTTAAGACACATTGAAAAATAACTACATAGAAAATAACAAAAAAAAAAGAACAAGACATTACATCATTGTGATAAATGTATCTATACACACTTGTGATACAGAAGGTTTCTAAAGACCAGAGCCAGTCTAGAACACTTTAGTCTGGACCTACTGAAGGTTCATGGTGAGGCTGAAGTTAAACCTGTAAATCGTGGTCTATTGGTTGAACTGCACTGATATTGTAAAATATGGAAACTTTAACAAAGCTTATGCATTTTAAAAACTAATAATTAATGCATTTAAAATCATATAAAACCTACATTTCTACATGTGAGGTGATCAATCTAATGATTCCCAACTAGTGATTCACTCCAGCAGTGCTTGACTTATAACACACACAGAAAAAGACCTTACTTGCTGACCTTATTTGCATAATGTTGTAAATTGGCCATCGAATTGGAGACAGCTGGGCCCACTATTTTATTGCCCTTGGTAATAATTTGCTCCCTCTTAGTAGATTAGTGCCTTGTCTTTAGGTCTTTAGTTCCAGAGGCCACATGTTTATCGTTCTTTCACAGGAGAGTAAATCAGCCAAATTCCTGCAAACTGATGAAAGACAAATGGCAGGGATATATGAAAAGAAACTGAAGTTGTTTACTAGGATAGTTTCTTTTAGTGTGTGAAACTTTCATTGCCTCCAACATGAAGGTAAAACTTCTTTTAATGCCTTTGAATTCCAATTGAAGGATTTGGTGAAGTCAGATGCACATTTTGTCATATTTCTGTGGACAAAAGGCTAACAATTTGTCCAGATAATTTTGTAAATTTCTTTCGTTGTTTATCATATTTTCCCTAACACCAAATCCTTCAGTTCTGTAGCACCCAAGAGCATGCCACAAACACACAAAGCCACTGTTCTCCAATATTAAGTTACAAACATATTTCCATTGTGGTTCTTTCTTAAATAAATTCAATTGAAATAAATTAAACATGAAAAAGAACCAAACAAAAACATGCTAATGTGTATTACCAAAGTTTAGTTTTCACACATTATTTACATGCCTTGTGCCAAAACAAAATACACTTGTTTCAAAGTTTTCTAATAAGGAGTATGCAATCAAAAATGAAAAAAAGCAAATAGATAAGGTGGCTAATATACAAATTTTAAGGAATATGGGAATCCAGAATTTAACAGCAATTTTCACAATCAACCACATTTTAGCAGACACAATATACAGCGGGGAGCTTAGAACCATTTAAACCAAAAATATTAGAAACATCATTTTTCTAAAAAACATGATTTAGCTTACATTTTCAAAAAGATGAGCTGTGTTTTTTTTTTTTTCAGAATTGAATCAAAGACAGCCTTGTCAGCTTTTCACCACCCATTTTAATAGGAGAACCATCCCAAGGCGATCTAGTCGTTGGGAAAGGAATACATACTCATTCAGACATTATTGTGCTTCTCTATTTGTCAGTTTTTTAGGTTTGGAAAGGAGGCCCCTGCAGATCTATGACCCAGCACTCACACACTATTTCCCTTTTTTCTCTTGCTTGAAGACCCCATGAAATGGAAATCAAAGTTCAGTTCATGGAGAATGACTCTGACAAAATGGAAATAAGAAGAGAAATTATGCAGTTTAAGACATGGGAGTGTGCAACATGTTGGTGATATCTAACTCCATCGTTAGAAACTGGAAAACAGAAATTTGGAGGTGACAATACAAACAAAAAAGGATTTGTAGTCAACCTGATGTTATTACTGTTTGTAGATACCGTTGTAATACTATGATTGGATGCTTCTCTGTGAGCCAATTAATGAACAGAAATGTGTGTACAAACCACTGTGGAAAGCTGCCTGGACCCCAAGTGCACAAGAGGTATCAATCAAAATGACATTAGTGAAAGAGTGAGGAAAACTAATTTAACACTAAATTGCCTGTACATACTGTAACTGAGTACCTGTTTTTGTCTGTATTAACTCCTAATGATTAATTTTACATTTCATGGGGTCCTTCAGCCTTAATATTATTCCAATGTGACATAATCATAAACAAAATAATTCAAAGTGAAAAGCTAAACTCATTTCAGTACAATTTATACAGCTTTTAGAGAGAGGAGATTGACTCTTTCTGTACACCTGAACCCTTAATGTGGATCACAAACTACGTAAGCTGTCAAGAGGACACTGAAGGTGTTGGTGTTTCGCTAAACTGCAGCCTGGACAGTGCAGGGATATACAGACAAAAGTACATAGGGACAGCAGATTTAGCAAATGGTTTGATATACTTGATTGAGTTTATTTGATGGAATGCTTTGTGTATTCTCTGCTCTAAACAATACCACAGTAGCCTTTATTACCCATACCCTAATAATGAAAATCATATTATATACTTATCTGACAAACCTTGCTACAGTTTTACACAAAACCTTCTTCTTATCTTACAAGGGTCAACTGTTTTAATTACAAGTCTGTTGAGAGGGGATGGGGTAGGGGGGAGGTGGATCATCTAAAAGTACCATATTCAGTGTGATAGACATGTATAAGGCGTAAAACAGCAAAGATTTTTCATTCAAATAAAAAAGACGCGATGCATAATCAAAAGCTGTGAGCTAAGCAATGAAATGATGGTCGAGTTAACCATCTACGAAGCATTTACATTGCTACTGACAGACGATACATGAAGGCATTGACAGAAGTTCAGTGGCGTCTGTATTTTTAGGCACCGTGTTGATGTGAGATATGATATGTGTTTGTGGTTGTGTGTGAACAAAGGGGATATAGTTATGTGTTTGGGTGTCTGCTTGGGGGAAAACAGGAGAGAGGATGAACAGGGGGCCATGTAAGAAGCAGTCATGGTAGATATACAGACTTCCAGGCATTCATGTCAAACATGAGGAACAATATGAGAAAGGGGACAACTTCAGCAGCAATGGCAAGCTGCCTGTGAACACTGGCTGCCAAAAAAGAAAGAAAGAACAAAATAAAGGACGAGATGTAAATGATAGAAATGGGCTTAACAAAAAGGCAATAATAGGAAAACACTCGGGGAACCTCTCTGTCTGTGGACTGCCTGCGGGTTCCTCGTTGACACGACGGGAACAGTGGTCAGAGGTGGAGAAGAAAAGGGGGAGACAGAGAGAGAGAGAGAGAGAGAGAGAGAGAGAGAGAGAGAGAGAGAGAGGGAGAAATAGAGATACAGAGATTGAAAGAGGGGGAAAGGGGAAGGAGAGAGCTGCACAGCTCCTCTGCAGTCTAAATGAAGTATTCTTTCTTTTCTTCTGCGTGTGCATGGTTGCCCTCAGCGTTGATGATGGCTGTGTCGGCATCGGGCGCATCGTCCGCTCCTTTGGCCTCGTTTGTCAAGTATGTTCCTAAGGAAATGAAAAAAAACAAACCTATATCAAGGAAAACAAATACCGAGCAGCACTGCATGGTGTTTGCTGCCTGAGGCGAAAAAACACATCTGAAGACAACATCAGTAATGCTACATAATTCATATGCAGAATGATGAGAAGCTAGGATAGTACGGGATATGTAAATGCAGCAGGGAGTAAGTGTGTAAAAGTGTGTGTGGCAGTCACGCCTTAAAGTTGCATGTCCAAATAATGTGAAAGCTCTCGTTAATTAAGAACACAATTTTAGAGCATTAGTGTGGAGACTGACCATTAACCATTTTTTTTTATCTTTTTCAACTTTCTCTTTCTCTCTCTCTTTAGCTGAGTCCCTACATGTATAAAGCAGGCATGTTATATATCTTGTTATTTTCAATATAAGTTATAAAAAATACCATTATTGCATGTTCAGAATTGTGTGAGTCCACAGGTTTAAACACAGGGCAAATATCTGTTTATGAATGATAGAGGAGATTGTACTGCACATATAAGAACAGTCTGAGCTTTACTAAGGTAAAAAAAACATTGGCTAAAACACATTGGAACACAGTCTTAATTCTATTTGGGGAGTACAAATGCTCTAAATCTAGGAATTCCCAGTTCCTATAATGCTTGGGACAGTGTAAACAGGAAGTATAATGTCGCTATGGATTCAGTGCGTTACATTGTAAGCTACAATTTGAGCCCCATTTTCTTAGGGTGGATTTGTTTACATTGGGCAAATCGTAGTGAATATAAGTTTGCCAAACTAGCTATTTGAAGTTTACATTTACATTTGCAATGTACCTGAGGATGTTGACAATTACTGGATTACTTTGAGACTAGAGAAAATTTTAAAACATGATGACTCACAAACTCTGAAGTTATAAGAAACTTTTTTTTCTTACCATTTCTAATTGGATTTATGGAGATCAGAGCTAATGATATCCTCAGAAAGTGTAAGGCACACTGAATCTAATGTAATAAAATATGTGTTTTCTTTGTTCAGATTCGGCTGAATTATGACTGAGAACAAAACATGTAATTTTTTTTATAATTTTGAAAAAATAGATAAAATAATAACCCAGTAAGTCTTGTGTATGCACTAGCTGCATCGCACTATGTGTGTAGGACTAAAGCCTTCTTTTCTCCACTGCAGGTATGTCGTGCACTTGTAACTTGGGAATTGGGGAAGGACTCTGAGTAGTAGGACATGCTTCACTAGTTCCATAAGCCTTGAGAAACTCAGGTCTGGTCCACTGTGGTCTTACCTTTATGCCTGGCCAGGTATCTTCCCAGGACAATGATTAAACACAAGGTGACAAAGACCACTACAGCCACCACTCCTCCGATCAAGGCATGGTCAGTGCCGTGCTGCCCCACAGCGTTTGGATCTGAGGAAAGACAGAGAGAGAAACAAAGAGAGCACATAAAGGCACCGGTTGGTGAGGTGAGGGAGTGAGGGCAGAGGAACAGCAAAAGACCGACAATACAAAACAGAGCAAGGAAGAAAAAATAAGATTATTTCCAGCTCGTTCCTGCTCTAATGAGCTGCTGTCATTCCTCTCTCCTTTCACATCATGCAGTCAGAGCAGAGCTGCCTAGCTCTCTCAGAATAATAAAATGAGAGAGAGAGGGAGAAAGATGGACATCGCGTTGACACAAAGAGCAGCTACAGGCAGACACACATTCATCCTGCAAAATGTAGGAAAAGGAGAATGAAAGAGAGAATCAGAAAAAAAGGGAATAATTTAGGATCGCCCCCACAGTGTCGCAGGAGTCCCCAACATGCAAACCAGGGCAGCAGTGGAAGAGTAGTACACAGTAAATAAATCATCATACACAAAATAAAAAGGGAAGATCAATCTTTTTCTGTTTCTCTTCGCGAGGAAGGATTGTCATTGGAAAAATGAAATGGGTGTTAGAGAGTTGCTACGGGTCCCCATCCGTTGGAAAAGCAGTCAGAATGATCAGAGAGTCGTGAAAGAGTGAAGAATCTGCATGATGAGGCTGTTCACGCCTCATGCAAGGACCCATCAAAGTTTTCCCTTGACTTCAACAATAGCTTATTTCTTTTATTTACCTTGACTTCTATGTCTAGCTTGCAGGCTATTGGAGGTAAGAGTAGGGACGTGACACTAACAGTGTCCACTGCAGGTGAATAAAAAAAAAAGTTGACAGTGATAGCAGTGGGAGAGAAAGAGATAGCCTGTATTATTCATATCAGTCCATGACACCTGAGAAATTAGCACTCATCTCATTATCCTCCTCCGAGTGCCAGGGCAGGCCATATACAGCCCTGTCACTTTGTGCGTGTATGTGGGCTCATGATAGCTGAAATATGGCAATGTCAGAGCAGGGTAAGCCGTGATAGAAGGGTGGTTTAGACTCACAGCACACGTCGTATATTGACAATATTTCTCTTCAGTATTCTCCTTTTCTTTCTGTGTCCACCCATGTGGCCAAATTGAACAGCTGGCTTGCTCTCGCTCCATAACTCTCCATGGTCTGAGTGACCAGGCGGTCACACTTCACTGCCTCCCAGTGGACAAACACACACTCATACCGACGCACACGGCTCATACACACAGGCGTGTGTAGCGTGGTTTCACTGCGCTGTAGTTCTGCTTGGTCAGTGGAGCAGAGAGTAGAGGAATGTTCCCCTGGCACGGCCCAGCAGGGCGAGGACTCGAGGCGTTTAGTTACACACATGGCTGTGTCTCTTCACCTCTATCTGTCAGGACACTGAGTGTTTTTTACCAGCATACACACTCACTGTCCTACCTGAGCTTCAGTCTGGCTGTTACAACCCAGTGCAGGCAGGCACAACAAGCATGACATACAGTCCTGTGTCTGTCTATAGAGTACTACACACTTTAGCCATGCAGTATGCAGAATACATCATGTCGGATGATCCACTTTATTTTTCACTGTTGATTTTTATCTTCAGTATGTTCCAAACACTCACAGTTTCTCCACAATATTGCAAACACATATACGCTATTGCCCCCTCACAGATCTCTGACTCTGACAGAAGTAGCATATTTAGTGATTTACTGGCAAAGTGGCAATTATTTTCCACATACTGAACATACGAATCAATGGCAGAGAAGCTATGCTGCAGTAGCAGTTTCTATGGATGCTTTGATGCTTTTTTGTGTGCATCACCATTTTATAGCTTCTCTCAGTCCTGGTTGATTTAAGCTCCACCAATTTTACCCCGTTATGTCTGTTTGCAGGTCTTGGGGAGTACTGCATATATAAAGAGAAGTCGTGCAAAGCCTTATGTTGCTGCAGAAGAAGCTGCAGAAAGTCTCAAAGTGAAGTCTTAAATCAAAAAAAGTCTTTAGAAAGAATCGTTAGGAAGACTTGAGCTGACCTTTGTAGCCCACCCCTCATCTCTGCTGAAGGCTAGTGACTTGAGGATACATTAACCGTTACCAGCATAACAAACTTTTGACTTTCAGGTTTTGACTATGAAGTAGTTTGTGTGGAATAAAAAAGTGGTTCATGCAACTGAACCACTTTTTTAAAAACCTGTCCATTTTGAGCCTGACAATGGCAGAGGACTGCAATACTAAATCTGTAGAGTACTCATTTCAGCCAACAGGGGATAGAGAGGGGACGTATTTGATATTCAAGATTAGATTTTCAGATTAACTCATGAAGTAACAGAAGCCTGTGACATAAATTCATCATAACTTACAGCGTGTAAGTGTAAATACTTTTCATGTGAGTGCCTTCAAAACATGGTTCATCTATTGTGTTCTTATGTATTCTGTTCTAGTCCACTGCAACTCACGGAAGGAGAAAAATACAGCAAGGGCGTACAAAGACACACAGAGAGAGGAAATGAAAAAATAGAGATTGATGGACAGGAAAAGGCTGAAATTTCAGTTGGAGCAAGACAGAAAACGAAAGACGACAAGGAGGAGAGGGATCTAGAGAGGAGGGTTATACATTTTCATGGGTCCAAAACACATTATCTTTTAATAAGGGCACATACATTCTTCTCTGTGTGATTTAATATGAGAGCATGGAAGAGCAAACTCCTCTTTTAATATTTATAACACTCTCCTTGTCGCCTGGCCTAGCGAGTTGGGCTTGTTTAATAAATGAAAGGAGTTCAGGGCTTCTGTGAGCCACTGCTTTGCTGGACTGAACCGAAAGTGTTACTCTTAAACTGCCCCACCAACTCCTCATCTGATCTGTTTCACTGATGCTGGTTCCATATGGGATTACTGTGGAAGGATATGTGATATTGATACTGTGTGGGTTTTCAAGAGGATGTGTAAAGGCTGGAAATGGAAACAATATCATTTACAGTTAAATTACCTGGTCAGATTAAATTACATTCAGCATATAATTACATTCCTGGAAGGAATTTGAAGCATTCTGTACATAAAATTAAAAGCATGGGATAGCTGCTGTACATTGTAGGTCAAACTTCCAGAAAAGCTCACTGCTCATGACTAAAATGTAACAACTCTAAGAATTGTTAGTCTTATATTGGTTCCAAAAAGGTGGTACAGAGAAATTATGAGCATACAATAAAGCTGGACTGCCTCTTTTAATCAGGTCATCACCTACGTTTTATACCAGCCTGATCTGAACTTCTGCAATCATACATTAATACAAATGTGAATGGTAAAACTATAATATCAAAGAAGGGAAGCTGAATGGAGATGACTGAGTAGTTGAAGTATTTAAGTGGCTGGTTTTGTTAGTTGAGGGTGATACTTCCTTGTCTATCAAAACTTTGAAAAGAATAAGGAGGTCCCTCCTCCAGGCTGGACATGTTGATAATATATGCAAACCTAACTCCGACATTAGCCTCACCACGTTTCTGTAGAACCTACACACCAATGTAAGCACATTTTGTCAGATTGATGAGGATTCACCAGTAGAGTTATAGTTATATTTGTTCTTTCCTCATATAAACAGCTTTGTCAGATATTTCTACTCTAAACTCTTGCTGTATTACGAATATGTGTCCTTATCTTATTCTTCAAACACTATATTCAATGTCTGAAGAACTTCACAAGAGACGTTTACCATTCAGTAAAGAATTGTTACAGCATCTCTTGGGCCTGACACTCTTCTCTGCACCGCCTTTCATCTAAAGTCATCTTTTAAATTAACAATCTCAAATGATCAGACGCAGCATCCTTGAATCCATCATATCAGTATGCAACTCAAATGGCCTTTCCATATTGTAGATTAACATATATCTCTCTCTCTCTATTCCCCCCATGGTATTAAATTTGTTATTATTAAAATTCATCCCCTACAGGCATCTTTTTCTTCTTTTGGATTGCACTTTTTCCTCTCTCTATCTTAGATATAGCTCTATGATGCAATGTGTTCAGTTTCTCAGATCAATAAAGCAGCAGCTAGCTTAAGCATGGGCTTATAGAGCTGCAGTGTCCTTGTGTCTGTGGTGTGGGTCAGGGAATCTTTGAGCGTGTTAGCACACAAAATAGAAAATATTAGTTTGCGTTAACAGGAGCTCAGATTCATGGGAGCCCTGGGAAGTAAGGTGTGACTTTATTGTAGGTTTTTTGCAGTTAATATGAATATTTACCAGATAAGGAGTCTAATATAAGATATTGCCTGATTACCTAAAATAAACTGTGACCAAACATAAGAAACCAAATAAATAAAACCATTATGCCTTGCTTCTAATGGCTTCCATAGTATTTGAAAACACTGCACATTACATCATTAAATGGGAAGCCATGAGACACATATTACTCTGCATTACTTCTGCAGCAGTGAAAGTCAGGGACACAAAGAAAGAGTGCCTGCAAACATAGGGGAAAGGGAAGAAGAGAAAGTGTTGAAAAGTGCCTGCAGACTTCACTTGCTCGATGAGTCAATTATGCCCAACTTTTTGGCTGAGACTGGAAATTCACCAATCTGCATCTAATGCCGCCTCTACTGCCAAGATGAAAGAGTCTCTGGAGGCTGAGGCAGAGGGCCGAAAGACACATGTGCGTACACTCCTGAATGAATGCAACCATGCATGTGAGAGAGTCAGAACGACAGAAAAGAAGAGACATTGCAGAGACATGCGTGTGTGTTTGTGTGTGTCCTTGCACATTATTGCTTGCTGGGTCAGAGTGGATTAATTAGATTCTGAAAACAAATTACTTCTGCTAATCATTCAATAAAGCCCACACGTGGACTTGGACACTATCTTGAATATTCAACAACCTCCTTCTCTCTTCTCAATATGAAAAGAAATTGTGGTCAGCAGGGTAACAGCATGAAGTTATAAGCAAAGCAAGATAATTAATCTTATGAATTAATTAAGTCACATGCAAAAATCAATCTATCAAAGTAGCTGAATGTTTGGCAAAATTCATAACCTCTTCAAATCAGCAATAAAATA